GAGAGATGCTCCAGGGAGGATCTGAGAGGATATTTCCTGGGGCGAGAACCAGGAGTGCCTGTTTGGTCCTTTGTGGCTGCTGGCCCTCCTGGGAACCCTCAGTCTTGCCTCTGTCACCACCACTCAGCGTGGGTCAAAACCGTTGTGCCTGGGGCTTGGGGCCTGGGGCCTTGGGGCCTTTGGCTGGTGTTCCTTAGCCCAGGAGAAACCCCACAGAGAGCCTTTCTGTGGGCCCAGGAGCCAGTGCCTCCCATCCCTCAGCCCATCCTCATGCTCTTGGCATTGTACTTGTCTATTATCTCTTTACTCACACAGCTTGTCTCTGCTAAAGCAGAAAAACAGAGTGGCAGAGGTGAAAGAACCTGACTTTGAGGGGCCCCCTGAATTGGAATCTCACCTCTGTCCTCATTCATTCAACAATCCTTTGTGGAACACCTATTATGAGCTAAGCATTGTGTTAGGAGTGAAAACTCTGAAAAAGTGCAGACATAAAAACCTCAAGAAGCTTAAAGTGAAAACAGATAACCATACAGACATATTTAACAATGTGATACATAAGATCTAATGATGATGCATGAAGAAAAGTAGCATACCTCTGAGGAAATGACACTTTATGCTGAGCCTGAAAGGTGAAAAAGAGATATGCAAGCAAAGTGTTAATGGAATAGTTTTACCAGGGAGAGGGAACAGCTGATGAGAAAGAATTAAGGTAAAAAGAAAGTTTTAATTTTTGAGAAACTGAATAAAATCTTGCATTGAGAAGGTTGTAGAAGAATTGAGGTCCAGATCATGCAGGCCACTGAGTTAAGAACTTTGAACACTATCCTAAAAGCTGAGGCTAGGTTTGCAGCAATGGAAGTAAGGTGCAAGCTAAGGTGGTGGCAGTGGAGATGGAAGGCCATGGATGGATTTAAGAAATACTAAGGCAGTAGTAGCAAGGAGCTCTTAGGGCTGTGGTTAAAGCATGGGACTGCTAACCAGAAGATTGTAGGTTCAAACCCACCAGCTGCTCTGGAGGAGAAACATGATGTAGTCTGCTTCTATAAAGAATTACAGCCTTGGAAACCCTATTAGGGCAGTTCCATTCTGTCCTAATAGGGTTGCTATGAGTTAGTATCTACCCAGTGGATTTGATTTTTGGTAAGGAGGTAGCTGAATAGTAATACATTGAGTGGGAAGGTGTTAAGGAAGAAGGTGGAGTCAAGGTGACACACGTCTGACCACAGTAATAAAGGCAAGATTAAGAGTTCAGTTGTGAATATACTGATCTTGAAGCATTTGTGAGAGAACCAGGTGGCAATGGCAGGTATGCCTTAGGCTGAGATACAGGCTGAGAATGGCAACTTGGGTTAGACATATACATTTGGGCATGCTTATGATAATTGAAGCCATAGGAGTGGTTGAAATCATCAAAGGAAAGAATATAGAATGAGAAGAGTTGAGAGCCTGGGATGGAGATCTCAGATAGAATGGGAACTAGTAAAGAGAGCAGACAGGGAGGCAGGAGGAAAACCAACACTGATCACAGGAGCCAAGAGAAATGTTTTGAGAATATGAGAGTGGCCAACATCGCTGGATGCTGCTGCTAGTTCAGGGAGATGAGAACTAAAATGTGTCTACTGAGTTTAGCAACAGAGAGGGTTTTGGTGACTGGGGACAGGATTTCTTTTGTACCCACTGTAATATGATTTAGCTGCTATGGGAGTAATCAATATTAATAAATTTATGATTGTCGTTTCAGGGTAAGTGAAATCAAAAGGTTATCTTCTTTCTTTTCAAAGATTTGCCTGTTTGCAAAATATGTAAATTCCTCTATTTTTTGTTTTTGTTTTGGTTCATGGACCCACATAGTTCTACTCATCTCGAATCTCAGGAAGAGTTGTCCATTTGGTTAGCACAGAACTTCATCACAGGCCCTCTACTGCACTTCCTGTACCGGGAAGTGGTACCCTAGCTGATACTAGCTGATACTATCTGAGATTCCACGGCTGTGACTCAGGCCATCTTAAGCTGTCAGGCAGTGGCACTGGTACAGGAAAGGCAAACATATACTCAGACATATATCCAATATGTCCATTAGTCCTTGAAATGCTGAACATTTTCTTTCTCCAAGGTAATCACCTGGTAAATAGCCATATTTATTTAGAGGAGGACCAAGGGAATCATCCAGCACGTACTTGCCACTGAATGTTGAGGATCCTTCCTCCTGGGAACCAGCCATCTCTTTAGTCAATGGGTCTAAAAACTAAGGGATCATGACTTTGCACTGTGGCAACTATCTCAGCCTCCTGCTCCTCCATTCTTATCTTGATTGTAGATATTACATAGTGCCTTTGTTAGGGACAATTTTGCTCTAGGGATGCTCTAATGACCATCTCCACAATTCCTTACAGGTCAAGCCCCCATTGATTGCCTCACCAACCTTGTGAACTATCATGGCAATTTTTAGGACCTCTGGTGGCATGGTGCCTAAGGCATTTGACTGCTAACTAGAAGGCTGGTGGTTCATTCAAACCCACCAGCCACTCCTTGGAAGGAAGGTTGGGCAATCAACTTCCATAGTGATATTGACTTGGAAACCCAAGGAGGGGTTTTGGGGGAGGTGTTATCTCCATCAATTGATTTATAGACACACACACACGCTGTGAGGTGCCATCGAGTTGGTTCCAACTCAGAGACCTATGTACAACAAAACAAAACACTGCTTGGTCCTGCAGCATCCTCCCGATTGTTGCTATGCTTGAGCCCACTGTTGTAGCCACTGTGTCAGTTCACCTCATTGAGGGTCTTTTTTTCACTGACCCTCTACTTTACCAAAACCAAACTCACTGCCTTCGAGTTGGATCCAACACACAGCGACCCCTCCTTGGGTTTCTGAGGCGGTATCACTACAGAAGTAGATTGCCCAACCTTCCTTCCATGGAATGGCTGGTGGATTTGAACCGCCAGCCTTCTGGTTAGCAGCCAAATGCCTTAGGCACTATGCTACCAGAGCACCTACTTTACCAAGCACAATATCCTTCTCCAAGGAATGGTCCCTCCTGATAAGATGACCAAAATATAAGAGAGGAAGTCTCACCATCCTCGCTTCTAAAGAGCATTCTGGCTGTACATCTTCCAAGACAGACTTGTTTGTTCTTCTGGAATTCTTCTCAAGTCATGCCACATCAGCAAATGAAGATCCCAAAACCTTAACTCCATCCACATCATTAAGGTCAACTCTGAGGTGACAGCTGTTCCCCAGTTGTATTTTGAGTGCCTTCCAACCTGAAAGGCTCATCTCCTGGCACTGTATTAGACAATATTTCACTGTTCTTCTGTAAGATTTTCAGCAGTCAACTCTTTCAGTGGACCACCATGTTTTTCTTCCCCGTCTTAGTCTGGAAGCTCCACTAAAACCTGTCCATAATGGGTGACCCTGCTGGTATTTGAAATAACGGGCATAGCATCCAACATCACAGCTACATGCAAGCCACCACAGTACAATCAATGACAGACGAGTGGTGGAGATATATATATGCAGGTCTGATGGCAGTGGGTAAGGTATTTGGCTGCTAACCAGAAGGTTGGTGGTTCAAACCCACCAGCTGCTCTGTGGGAGAAAAATGTGGCAATCTATTCCACCAAGATTTACACTTGGAAACCCAATTGGAATTGACTTGATGGCAGTGGGTTTGGTTTTTTTGGTGTATAATATAAGTGCGTGTGTATACATACGGTGCCCTGGATGCGTGATGCCTAAGGCATTTGACTGTTAACCAGAAGGCTGGCGGATATAAATACACATGCAAGTATGTATGTTTTTGTTTTTCCCCCACTTTCTATGGTTTGGGTCAAGGTTTACTTAGTAAATTGGTTTTCCATTCAACAATTCATAAACATTTTGCTTTGTTAATTGACTGCAATCCCAACTATAACAGCACTCTTCCCATTTCCTCCGTGTTTACCATTTCACTTCACCCTTCCATCCTATCCCTTCCTGTCTTCCAAGCTTTATCCCTGGGAAAATGCTGCCCTTTTGATCTCATATGGTTGATTATTCTGATGAAGACAAACCTCCATAGCAGTGGTGTTCACCTAATATACCTGTCCAGTGTTTAGCTAAAAATTGAGCCGTATGAGTGAGTTCAGTTTCAGGTTTAAAGGATGCCTATGGATATACACAGCCCCAGCTGAGACTGCCTCTCAAACCTGGCCTTCAGAGGACAGCCACCACTGAGGTTCCTTACGGTACCCCTCTCACTAGTAAAGTCCCAAATACCTTGGTAAATGGCATGTTCTCTGCCCTTGTTGTGGAATGTAATCCTCTGGTAGCTTTTTTGGTCTCTCATATATCCATTCTAGCATATGTACTTCCCTAAGCCTCTGTATTCATTCCTCTACCATCTGGCAGGGCAAGTTCACTCAGTATTGGCCATTTTCTCCCTAACAAAGAGAATTCGCCCTGGCGTCCTTGTCAGGGTATTAAATTCTGCCTTTCAAAAAATTTCTCCAAAGTCCACGAATTCTAGCTTATCCAATCTTACATCCTGGTCCCTGGCATTAAATTAAACACACCAAAAATCCGAACCCAAATTTACTCTGGCGTCTGCCAGTATGTTGGCTAATTTTTACAGCTCCTTTGGTTGTTAATCTCGTTCTTTTCTTATCAGGTCCAGCACTTCCCTAGTTATGCCCAGACTTAACCCCAGTTGTTGGCCTGGCAGTCAGGGAAGGAGGAGGAAGCAGCTCCTAAGGGAGGTAACTGTTGCCTTGTCAGGGAGAAGCCCTGGCAGTCATCTTCAGCACAAGGAAGTGTTAGACCGTACTAGGGAACTGTGGGCCACCTTTGCAAAATCTGAATGTCAGTAAGAGTGTGCACAGCCAAAACCCTCAGGGGCATCCAGTCAGATGTCTCCACCCACCTTCCGGGGTCGTAGGTGTTCTCAACCAAGGGAGAAGCAACAACAAATTGAAATATTTTGATATAACTACCAAGAAAAGTTACATGGTTTGATTAATGAATTTTAAAACCACTAAATTATGTAATAATAAAATAGCAGAGTATTTATTTTTATATAACTATCATTCAGCAAATGTTGTTACATTGTACAACCATATTACATTTTAAACTCCTTTCCAATAGAAAGATTTTCTAAGGAAATTTCTTGAAGCCTTCCACATTTATCAGATGCTTTTTCATTATTCTTTTCCATCTTTGCAATTCTGGATCCAAACTGCATGGCTCTTTTTGGCAGAAGGGCAGAGGACGTAAGACCAAGTTCTGTAGCTGCGAGACGCAAAAGCAATTTCTCACCAATTCCACGGGGTAAAGCCAAGTTTGCCTTTTCCCAAATTGGTAAGGAATTTAGAAAGGAGACAACATTTTCATCCAGGAAAGGAAATCTAAAATAAATAAATACAACGTCACTATTAAAATCAATGTGTTATAATGTTTTCCGGATGCATCTTATTTAAGATATTAACATAATATAAAAATTAATCTTAGAAGGACCAGAAACCAAACCTGCTGCCATTGAGTCAATTCTACCTTACGGCAAACCCACGTGTTACAAGTAGAACTACTCCATACGGTTTTGTTGGCTATCATCTTTATGGCAGATTGTCAAGTGTTTCTTAAGCAGTGCCACTCAGTGGTTTCAAGCCACCAATCTTTAGTTTAGTAGTCATGAGTAAACCATTTGCAACACCCAAGAACTCCTTTAAAACAAACAAAACAAAAACCAAACTCACCGCTGTTGAGTCAGACCTGACTCACAGCGACCCTTCCTTGGGTTTCTGAGGCAGTATCACTATGAAGTAGATCGCCCAATCTTCCTTCCGAGGAGTGGCTGGTGGGTGCCTTAGAGGGCACTAATTTCTCAAGTAAAAATATTCTAGTTATTCACTTAATTTTATAGCTAAAATTTAACCACATTTTAAAAATTAAATGTCTTAAAACATGAGTCATTTTAATACACATGCTATGAAATAGTCTAAACTTCAATAAATAAATTTGGTCTATGGTGTAAGAAATAATTTCAAATTGTTTCATATAGTATCTTTGGGGATGCTTGAAAACAAGCATGATCTTAGTCAACTATTCAACTCATGTCTGTTCTTTTTCTTGTCTAAAGAAAATGAAGTTTAGGGCTATGAGACCAATATAGACGAGCTACACAATGCTGCATTTGTGAAATATTTATAAAACTTCATGGTGCCAAAATTATTTAATTACACTTACAGTGTTTAAATGGCAAATTGGTGTAACACAGAACAAAGTACTAAATTAAAGAAAATAAATTTCTGACCTTCTGGCTTCCCTAATTTCCTAGAAGAGTTTGCTCTTTTTATTGTCTAAAATACTTTAACAACCACCTGCTCCAATCCCTCAAAGTGCAACAGAGTTTTGACAGTGTTTCCATTTCATTACATTTTATTCTAACTAAAATAGAGAGACTGGAATGGAAAAAAGACATTTGTTATATGAGATGTTTTATAAAAATAATTGTAAAAGTGAATTTAAATAGAACAGTTACTATTAATAAGTTACTTTAATACACATGCAAAGATGCATAATAAATTATTTAGATTTAGCCATTGTAATGGCATTTGTCAAATCACAATTCTGTATAAGCTGTTTTAAACATTATTTGTATATATTTTTACCTGAGACTATCATTAGACTTTCATATGGAACCTTTAAAATTAACTGACTTAATCCTCTTCTAATTTAACCAAGCTAACGATGAATTTTTCTCTCTTCTGTCTCTCTCCCACACAGATGCATGCATTCACACACACACACACACACACACACACACACACCCCAAAAGGAAAGCAGTTTATTGATTTATATTGTGGCATCTGTTATAATGAAATCTTGGAAAATTATGTAAGATTAATGATATGATTGTCAAAATTTATGCGTTACACTGGCAACATAAGAATAACCACTGTGTAAAGGTAACCAAGGTTCAGCAGAAAGAGGTAAAAATGGAAGTAGAAAGGAAACACACCATGCTTCAGAGAGGGTGGATGTATCATGACTTTCCAATTCCCATGAGGCTTACCTGGACTCCTTATTCATGCATGTCTGTAGCCTTGTAATAAAACACTACTTAATAAATTAAACTACTTAGATTTCTGTTTTTTATAATCAAATGACAAACCTTCCTTTTCCTCAATACTTTAATATACTCTATGTACAAATAAACCCAATATTAAGCAAGAATATACACATGAAAGGGCATTAGCTTCTTTGAAGGTTTAGGTAATCTGTAACGTATGACTAAAACTGTGTTCCAAAAACACAGAAGGAATCCAGTACTGGAATTACCATTCAAATCAGTATAAATCTATAATATGTACAGAAATGTCCATATTATGTTCTATAGAGTTCTATAGAACTGGAGGCAGGAGCTTGAAAGTAGGGAATATACCCTTAATGGGAGGAAAGCAACCATTGCAAACAGAACAAAACCCTTTAAACACTCTCTTGGCATTTCACAATCTTAGTTTTACTTTCACAGACTTTTTCATCATAGTCTTAAAAACAATTGGGCCACTTTATCACCTTCGAAAACTGTTGAAAAGATTGTTTCTTGGTGAATGAATTCTGGAAAACAGCTGCTACCTTGGCTTCTCCCTAGTTTTGCTTCTGACTACCTACATTTGTAGTATAAGAACAAGATGTTATTGTTACTGCTGTTGCTCATTTGATAAGTCTCCAAAGCAACAAGAAACCTAAAGTTCTCTTCTCATAGTCTATTGTTCCTATAAAAACACCCAACACCACTCCAATAGATAATTAGAATTACCTTGCTTCTTTTCCATGATCACCAATAACTCTGTCATCACGACCAAGATTTCTAGAAGAAATTCGACCTAGTTCCATTTCTATTTCTTTATTCAATCCTTCTAACCCATGTGTCTGAAAGCAGACACGATGACGAGAATAACCAGCAAGTTGTTCATCTGCACCAATTCCAGTAAGAACAACCTATAAAGGTTTAAAGAAATATACATTATAAACATACACAGTGAGGAAAATAACTAGGAGAAAACAAAACCTTAACATATTATAACCTCCAGATAACATTTCTGAAGGAAAAATAAAAGACAAAGGCATACAATAGTAAAATTTGCTCAATTTTTAAAATGACAGAGGCTTTCTATTGCAGTTTAAATGCAACTAAAGATGCAATATTCTTACAACCCAACTGCAAACAGCTTTAAGGATCAACTCTACATTGCAGACATTCTTATGTGTAGAACTACTGCGCCATACCTTCGCATTGCTCTGATAGGATTTCACTTCATCCTGTGTCACTAAACAGCCAACTCCTCTAGAAGCAAACCAGACTGCACAGCCAATGCTATCATCCAGAACCGTATCCAACGGATGAATTAATTGGCATATTCGGTTTCTTCTTAATTTTTGCAGTTCTTCCAAAGGCACATTAATTTCAACAAAATTCCAAATCCGTGAAGGGTTGACAGCTTGCAGTTCCTTTAGTCCCGCTCTTCCTGTGATTCGATCTGGTACACCGAACTGTTTATCAGGATTATCATCAGCTGCGGTAGCAGGATTTTTAGAGAATTCTTCAGATGGTATTTCACAGTATTTTTGCTTATTCCTCTTTTTGTTAAAATGAGCTGGCATAGTCTTTTCTTTAGTCATGAAAGCCACATTAAGAAGATCAATTGGTTCATCTATAGGAATATGACGGTCAGCAAGGGCTGCAATAACCATGGAATCAATGCCCCCAGAAAAAAGAATTGCAATGTTTGCTTTCCTATCACAAATTTTCAAAACTTCATCTGGTGTCAAGCTTTCATACCTAGGTAAACATAAGACACGCCTCTTGACTGCCATACTCAGGACATCGATGAACTGCTGAACCACTTCCTTCATGTGTTTGTCAGTAAGATAGACTTGAAGTGTTTCTCTTACAGGCAGGGCTCTGAAAACATCAGTATGGTAAGTCTCAAATGGAGCTTGTGGCAACATCGTATTTAAAGGAACAACAGGTTTTTCAAGATAGAGTTTGGCTTCACTTGCTTCCACTGATACAAACTTAGGCAAATCAGCTGAAATTTGAGTCAGGCTATTAACACATTCTTTGGTAACATTCCCCCTAGAAATACATTTCCAAGGATATAATGTTAAAATCACACATTTGGAAATGGCAGTAGACTTGAGATCAATGCTGAAAATTCCAGACGCTGGAACTTCTCGCCATTTATTGGTTACTCCAGATGTTTGGGTGCCAACTGAAGAGAGGCAGAAACTCTTACCCAGATTATTAAAATGCCAAAGTAAGCTACGGCGACCAAAAAAGTCCCTACCAAACCATAAATAATGACTAGATGCTTGATAATATATAAAAGACCAAGGACCCTGGACTTCTGAGAAGAGTGACAAAATATCAGATTCATTCTTACAAGAAGAAAGATAATTAAACATAATTTGAGTATCATTCTCCTCAGCGCCAACCTTTATTCCATTAAAGACTTCCCCATTCCACAGGAACACATTGCCTCTTTCATCTTCCACAGGCTGGGACGTCAAAACACCTCTTAAGTGAAGGACGTGTCCAGAAAATAAACACTGGTAGTTTACATCAGACTTTAACAACTGTTTACTACTATCGGGTCCACGCTGTTTAAGATAATACAGTAAATCCTCTTTTAAATGTTTGTTGATATGCTCAACAGAGAAGTTTACAGAACAACAAATGCCACACATTGTTATGTGAAATTAAGTCGACTATTTCTTGATTTTGGTCTTCTCTGAGTTTTCTATTTCTTGATATTCTTTTTTCAGTTCATCCAAAATATCTGTAAGGGGAGGAGGAAAGGAAGAAATATTAAATAAAACTTCTTGGGCTTTGCCTTGTAATTGAAAGGGTACCACAGATTATATAACAAGATCAAGTCATCCTGAGTATATGCACTGTGTTGCTACCACAAATAATATTCATAAAAGGCCATTAATAAAGAATGTTTACTTCAGAAATATAGTTTCTATTTACTGAGTGCTTGGAAGATAGGGTAATCTACTTCCATAGTGATACTGCTTCGGAACCCAAGAAGGGGTCGCTATGAGTCAGATCCAACTCGAAGGCAGTGAGTACGGTTTTTTTGGTTTGGTATATTGACCCAGGCAATGGGTCAAACACTTTACATAAACCACATTATTTAATTCTCACAAGAGTTTGGAGGCTCAAAGTAATTCACGCAAAGTTAAAGTTAGAAAGTAGTTAATTCATTTTTGTACTGTCTGAAACTCTTAAAACAAATGATGACTACAGCTGCAAACATTTATTGATAATCAGAATGTGGAATGAATGAAGTATGAATCTAGGAAAACTGGAAGTTGTCAAAAACAAAATTGATATCCTAGGCTTAGCGAGCCAAAACGCACTAGCATTAACTACTGTGAATCAAATAATCATATTGTTTACTATGCCTGGAATGACAAGTTGAATAGGAATGCTAACACAATTCATCATCAAAAAAAACATTTCAAGTTCTATCCTGAAGTACATTGCTGTTGGTAACAGGATAACACCTATACACTTACAAAGAAGATCAGTAAATATGACTTCAATTCAAATTTATGCACTAACTGCTAAAGCCAAAGGTGAAGAAACTGAAGATTTTTACCATATTCTGCAGTCTGAAATCAATCAAACATGCAATCAAGATGCATTGATAATTACTGCTGGTGATTAGAATGTGAAAGCTGGAAACAAAGAAAGATCAGTAGGTGGACAATATGGCCTTGGTGAGAGAAAAGACACCACAGATCACAAGATAGCATTTTGTAAGACCAATGACTTCTTCATTGCAAATACCTTTTTCCAACAACATAAACAATGACTACACATGTGTAGCTTACTGGATGGAATACACAGGAATCAAACAGACTATATCTGTGGAAAGAGACAAAGATTTTCATTATCATCAATCAGAAAAAGGCCAGGGGCCGATTGCAGAACAAATCATCTATTGCTCATATGCCAGTTCAAGTTGAAGCTGAAGAAAATTAAAACAAGTCCATAAGCCAAAATATGATCTTGAGTACACCCCATCTGAATTTAGATACCATCTCAAGAATAGATTTGACGCACTGAACACTAATGACTGAAGACCAGATGAGTCATGGGGTAAGAGCAAGGACTCATGAAGAAAGCAAAAGGTCAGTAAAAAGACAAGAATGAATTAAAAGACCAAAATAGTTGTGAGAAGAGATTCTGAAACTTGCTCTAGAATGCAGAGTGGCTAAAGTGAACAAAACAAATGAAGCAAAAGAGCTGAATGAGAGCTTTCAAAGAGCAAGTTTGAGAGGATAAAGTAAAGGATAATGAAATGTGCAAAGACCTTAGAAAACCAAAAGAGAAGAACATGCTTGGCATTTCTCAAGCTGAAAGAGCTGAAGAAAATAGTCACGCCTCGAGGTACAGTACTGAAGGATTCTATGGGCAAAATATTGAATGAAGCAGGAAGTATCAAAAGAAGATGGAAAGAATCAGAGTCACTGTCCCAAAAAGAATTGGCTGATGTTCAACCATTTTAGGAGGTAGCATATAACCAAGAACCAATGGTACTAAAGGAAGAAATCTAAGCTGCACTGAAGGCAGTGACAAAAAACAAAACTCCAGACATTGACGGAATACCAGTTGAGATGTTTCAACAAATGGAGGCAGCGCCGGAGTTGCTTCCTTATCTATACCAAGAAATCTGGAAGACAGCGACTTGGCCAACTGACTGAAAGACTTCCTTAACTATGACTATATCAAAGAAAGGTGAGCCAAAAGAATGTGGAAATTATCCAACAATATCATTAATATTACATGCAAGGAAAATTTTGCTGAAGATAATTAAAAAATTGTTGCAGTAGTACACCAACAGGGAAATCCCAAAAGTTCACACAAGATTCAGCAGAGGACGTGGAATGAGGGCTATCATTGCTGATAGATGGGTCAGATGGATCCTGGCTGAAAGCAAAGATACCAGAAAGATGTTTACCTGTGTTTTATTGACTATGCAAAAGCATTTGACTGTGTGGATCATAACAAAATTATGTGTAACACTGTGAAGGATGGGAATTTCAGACCATACACTTGTGCTTGTGCTGAACTTGTACACAGGCCAAGAAGCAGTGTTTGAACAGAACAAGGGGATACTATGTGGTTTAAAAATCAGAAAAAGTGTGCACCAGGGTTGTATTTTTTCACCATACTTACTCAATGTGTATGTTGAGCAAATAATCTGATAAACTGGATTTATAAAAAGAAACATGGTATGAGAATTGAAGAAAACTCATTAACAACCTGCAATATGCTTACATATGGCTTATGGAAAGTGAAGAGGACTTGAAGCATTTACTGACAAAAACTGAAGACTACAGCCTTCACTATGGATTATATCTCAACATAATGAAAACAAAAATCCTCACAACTGGACCCAAAAGCAACATCATGATAAACAGAGGAAAGACTGAAGCTGTCAAGGATTTCATTACAGTTGGATCCACAATCAGCATCCATAGAAGCAGCAGTTAAGAAATCAGACATCATATTGCACTGGGCAAATCATCTGCAAAAGACCTCTTTAAGATATAAGAATCAAAGATGTGACTTTGAAGACTCAGGTGGGCCTAACTCAAGCCATGTTTTTTTTTTTTTTTTTAATTTTATTGTGCTTTGGGTGCAAATTTACAAAGCAAATTTGTTTTACATTCAACAGTTCATGCACATTTGATTTCACAACCTGATTACCATCCCTAACCATAAAAAACTCTCCTCCTCTTCTGTCCCTGTGACTACTCCCTCCCTGTACCCTTCTTGACTATGCAATCCTGTCTGTCCATCTTTTCTTCTATGTGAATGCTGCCCCTCTGATGTCTCATGGCTGATTGCTCTAAGGGGTACATCTCCCTAAAGTAGGTGGATGTAGGTCTTTTTACTGTTGGGCTGAGAGCCAATCCATGAGAGTGAGTCCATTTCTAGGCCCAAAGGGTAACCTGGGACCATAGTCTCGGGGGTCCCACCAGACTCTATCTGACTAGTAATTCTGGTCACTCTTGTGTTTTTGGATTTTATTCCACATTTTTCCTCTCATTCTATCCAGGATTTCTAGTTGTCATCCCTTTCTGAGTAGTTGGCATTGGTAGCTGGGTACCATCTAGCTCTTCTGGTCAAGCCATGGAATTTTTAATCATCTCATATGCATGTGAAAGCTGAACAATGAATAAAGAAGATCAAAGAAGATTTGATGCATTTGAATTATTGTGTTGGCAAAGAATACTGAATATCTCATGGGCTGTCAGAAGAATAAACAAATCTGTCTCCGAAGAAGTAAAGCTTGAATGCTCCTTCAAAGTGAGTAGGTTAGACTTTGTCTCACATACTTTGGACATTTATCAGGAGGGACCAGTCCCTGGAGAAGGTCAACATGCTTGGGAAAGAAGCTGGTCAACAAAAAAGAGGGCAGTGGATTGCCACAGTGGCTGTGATAACAGGCTCAAGCACAGCAACAATTTTAAACATGGCTCAGGACTGAACAGTGTTTCATTCAGTTGCACACGGGGTCGCCATGAGTTGGAAGCAACTCAACAACAGCTATCAATAAAACCATTGCTGTCTAACATGACTGATGTATTTTTCACTTGCTGTTGTGTGCCATGATGTTGATTTCAACTCACAGCATCGCCATGTGACAGAATAGGACTGCCTCATGGGGTTTTCTAGGCTATAATTTTTGTGGAAGCAGATTGTCAGGTCTTTTGTTATAGCCTTGGGAGGCCAAGTGAAAGAAAACTAAACCATTGTATTAATTTCATTAATGAGTTAATTCAATAATTCTCCATACCAGTCTTTAGATCAATACATTTAAACAATCAGATCTAGATGATATAACTTAGGCACCACCACGCATTTCCACAGAAAGTCTACCAAACACTTTTTGGGAATTTCTATGTAAGATACTGAAAAACTTACTTTTGCTTTCAGAAAGCATTTGTGTTCGGTCTGCAAGAAAGAATATGTTGCTGTTTTGTTGTTGCTTATACACTTTCTGCAAAACATAATTTAAGCTAATATCAAGATTTGTTCCAATAGTTGTCAAAACTTTGAACCCTAATATCACTTACTCTTGAACATCCAAAATGAAGGTTCAGAGTAGCATTTTAGAAATTATAAACAAACAAAACAAATAAGTCACACATTTTCCTATACCTAAAAATTGCTCCCATTAATACTAGATGAAGCTCTTTTCTCTGCATTACTATATTATTTTCTTTTTAACTAAAAATCTTTCTATATTTTTATAATTTTTTTCTTATGAACAGTATATTTGACCACATTTTCTTATATTAATAAGTGTTCTTTTACAGTATTATTGTACATATATTGAATACACCATGGACTGCCAGAAAATGAACAGGGAGAAATACAGCAAGAATGCTCCATAAATATATATATATACACACACACACATATATAGATATGAAATATATTAAGCTTAGAACCTTTCAATTTTTGCGATTTGTAACCTAAAAAGATGTTGAAATTTTCAAAATTTTAATATTAACTTTCTATCAATTGTGTATATAATTCTTAATTAAATAATTACTCTAATAACTCACCCTGTTTTTCTTCAGGTTAGAAAGTTCATCCACAACAATTTTTTGTTCTTTAATCTATGAAATAAAGGAAAAGAATCCCTAAATCAAAGGTTCTCAGAGTATGTTCAACAAGGTTCCTTTAATTGACTGTTTCAAAATCAGAGATGGAATAAGTGACTATAGTGTACTGATTTGATTTTCAAAATAGGTAGAGTCTGTGTGGGAATGGAGGTGAGGGGAATTTGGAGGGAAAAGCAGTGATTAGACTTGCCAAGCGTTGTGCTGGCAGCCAGAATACACACCAAGTGGCAGTTATCAAACAAGGATATCTTCTATTAAAAACACGATATGCACTGAAATATTACCATTCTTTCAATTAATTCCTTTACACTGTGCTTTATTTATTATTTCAAATGCTGAAGGGTGGGACACTTTTTTGTCAACTAGTAATTTTTATGATTTATAACCTAAATTAAGATGCTCTGGTGGTGTACTGCCTATGGCATTTGACTGCTAACTAGAAGGTTGGTGGTTCAAGTCCACTAGCCGCTCCATGGAAGGCAGACAGGGCAATCTGTTTCCGTAAAGATTTACCACCTCAGAAACCCAAAGGGGGTTGCCATGAGTTAGAATCCAGTCTATGGCAGTGAGTTTGGTTTTTTGGTTTTATGAGCTAAATTAAGCAGCTAGACAATGAACAGCAGCACAGCAAGAATGCTCCACACACACACACACACACACAGATATGATGTATATTAATCTTGGAACCTTTCCACTTTTGCGATTTGTTACCAAAAAAGATGTTGAAATTTTCATTCCACTGTACAAGCAAGTACAACCAAATGCCCTATCTCTGGCAGAAACCTCACTTTCCATTGTTGCTTTACTCATTCTTGTATTTCAAAGACTAGCATAGTCCTGGCACTACTGAACTCAGCTCCACTTTTTACTAGCATGGGAACACTGAATTAAATGAAAACTAAGTCAATGCAGTTATTCAGACAACCAGACTAACAAACTTGCTAGTGGTTCTAAAAGCAAGTGGCTCTAAAATCAAGGTTTGCAATCTTTTATCAACCTCACACACCTGGATGATTTCATATATTAATTTAGGGGACTTGCAATGGTAGTTATGGAAACAGGCTGTGAGCACCATAACAGGCTGTGTGCAGTTACCCCCGCCCACACACACCTTGTGTGTGTACCCTTGTGTCTCCCCAAGTGATAGTCACAATTCTATTAACAGACTCTATTAGGTTGAATGCTTAGGCTGAATTCATATAACCTCTTTGAGATGAAAGTAGTAATAACAATACCTATGTTTCAGCAAGGAGCTCTGGTAGCGTAGTGCCTAAGGCACTTGACTGCTAACCGGAAGGCTAGCGGTTCAAACCCACCAGCCACTCCTCGGAAGGAAGATGGGGCAATCTACTTCCGTACTGATACTGCCTCAGCAACCCAAAGAGGGGTCGCTATGAGTCGGGTGCGGCTCAAAGCCACATTAACAACAACAACATATTTGAACAGTACTTTCCCATTTGTTTTAGGAATCCAGGTATAAATTTCACTTTACTTTAATCAAGGAAACTGCGATAGAGAGATTAAAGAGACTTGCCCAAGATGTTGCTGCTTGAGACTGAACCAAAGTACAATCTAAACCTAACCGTGCCATGGAGTCAGACCTGACTCACAGCGAACCTTTCTTGGTTTCCGAGGTGGTATCACTACAGAAGTAGACTGCCCAACCTTTCTTCCAAACAATCTAGGACATCTAATACCCGATCCCCATCCCTCACCCCAAATATTTTTAAAGCTTTTATCTGTTTATGGAAGGAAAGATTTATTTTATACCGGCTTCCCATTCCTTTTTTTTTTAAAAAATTGAGTGACAATCAGATATATGTTTTAGGATCAATGATCTGGCTGCTAAGCGGAGAACAGATGAGAAAAAGGTCTAAGAGTGGAACGTGGAAGGGGAGAGATGGGTTTGGAAGGATCTAAGAGGGTCCCAATCAGAGACCTTGGTGGCTGGTTTGGTGTTATGAGAGGGCAGATGGTGATAAGGGTCTATATTTTCAAAGGAGCTTGGAGGCTGAACTGATACAGCTTCGTGATGGATGTCAAGGATGGATGGCTTCCAGGCTACGGGTATAGAAACTGGATGTACGCTGGTAACACTGGGGAAGGGGGGCAGTCTCTCTAAAAGTTTAAAAAGGTAAAGAAAAAATTCTCAACAAAATCTGTACTGCTACATGAGTCTAATTTTGGAGCAAGCTTCAGTGTCTCTCTTACCACAGCTGTTTGCAAGAAAGTAGCTACAAAGTGCTATATACCTGCATAGTGCTAATAATAATAATAATGGGGGAGAGGGGGAGTGGAAAAAGTTGGGCAAAGCCATGGCCTGGCAAAGTCACGCACTGCCATCGACCAAGTACAGAGGGCCGAAGGTGTTCAACAGCTTGGGGAGTCAAGGGGCCGCAGTGCCCCATCTCGAGCCCGCGGGCCTTCCCGACTCATTCCATTCCACACTTGCCTTACTGCTAAGATCCTCTCTGTGCGGGGTCAAAATGTCGTAAGGGGCCAATCCAGCGCCGTCCTCCGGGTGCACTCCAGAGCTAGGCATCTCCATTTAATTCGGGATGTGCTGAATCTACGGAACTGCACGACACGTGCCCCAGGTGTCGCTCAGCCCTCAACCTTTCCGGTTAAGAACCCCAGGAGACTCCTCTCCCTCCCTTCCGGTTCCCAGAAGTCACCAACACCCTCTGCGCACTCACTGAAACGCCTGCGCAGTCCGAATCTGGCGTGGGAGAAGTTCCGCGCATGCGCGCAACCGCTTTGGGCGCTCTTGAACATCTCCTGCTTGTGAAATCTGAAAGGTTCCAGCAGTCTCCCCTAGTGGATGGGATGTAGAAACGGTCTTGTGGGCACTTCACGCTTTCGCATCCAGTAGACTGCGAGTTATAAGCGTCACCCAGTGGTGAATATAAAGAATAGCAGCGCAGGGGAAGTATTACTGTATCTAGACGGGAATACAACAGACGGGGATAGGAGGCTGAGACACAGATTTAAGAGCTATGAGGTTGACATCGGAACTGTACAAACTTGGCGAAGTTTTTGTTAACATGTTAGTAGTGTTCCCTGATAAAATACAGGATGCCACTTAAATCTGAATTTCAAATAAACCAATAATATTTTACTATTTATATGACCCATGCAATATTTCTAATATCTCACTCCTGTGAGAAAGATTATCAGAAACTTGGAAATAGGAAAAAGAGATTACTGAATGTTCTTTCAGTGCTGTTTTGATCTTGACTTTATGTTGACCGTGTCATTTTACAATTCTGTAGGGCAGAGGTTACGTTAACTTGTAGAATTTTGTCAAGTATCTGTTGGACCAGGTAACTCCATAGGTTATGATTTATTGTTCAGTTATTTATCGGTTTTGTATCTAATTCTGCAATCGTATTCTAACGTATTTTTATGAATGCAGTTGGTAAGGCATTTGGATGCTAACCAGACAGTCCAAACCCGCCAAGTGCTCTGCCAGAGGAAGATGAGGCAATCTGCTTCTGCAAAGATCTACAGCCTGGAAACCCAATAGGAGTCACTGTGAGTCAGAATCACCTCCGTGGCAGGGGTTTTGGTTTTATTTTAGCATGTCAAATGCTGTTTGAATGGATTTTAACACCTTACCAGTTCCTTCATTAATTGTTGTGTAGAATAAAACTTTCACATGTGTTTATTATTTTATATTTGCATGAGGGACATGATGTTATACTTTTGAGAATTATACTTGAACATTGGAAACTTGAGATTCTGTGGAGACATCCAACTGGAACCACCTGTGGAGCAAAATAAATTGTATCACTGATGAAGTGCACCTCATGGGTTATTTAAGCCTCACTCACTGCTGTTGAGTCGGATGCGACTCATAGCGACCCCTCCTGGGTTTCTGAGGTGGTATCACTACGGAAGTAGATTGCCCAACCTTCCTTCCCAGGAGTGGCTGGTAGGTTTGAACCACCAGCCTTCTGGTTAACAGTCAAATGCCTTAGGCACTATGCCACCAAAGTTCCCTATTTAAGCCTGGTGATGTCTTTTATAAGGAGTACTGGTGGAACAGTGATTAAACACTCAGCTGATAACAAAAGGTTGGCATTTCAAACCCAACATCCTGCTGTTTGGGAGAAAGATTGGCAGTCGACTTCCATAAAGATTTACAGCTTAGAAACTCTATGTGTCAGTTCTTCTCTGTGCTATAGGGTCACTGTGAGTCAGAACTGACTCTCCAGCAATGCGTTTGTTGTTGTTGTTGTTATGTGCCATCAAGTTGGACTGACTCATAGTGACCCCTCCTTGGGTTTCCGAGGCAGTATCGCTATGGAAGTAGGTTGCTCAGCCTCCCTTCCCAGGAGTGGCTGGTGGGTTTGAACCACCAGCCTTCTGGTTAGCAGTCAAGTACCTTAGGCACTATGCTACCAGAGCTCCTGCAATGGGTTTAGGATCGCATTTATTAGCTTTTAAAGTATATCCCAATTGGTTATAGATGTAACTTTACTTTTTTTTTTTTCCACTCTACTGATTTAAAAACTTTTTTGTTTTCCTTATTTGTGCTTCGCTGATAAATAATTAAACACTGGTAGTAATATTGATAGGAAGTTTGGTTTAATGATCTGGCCATTTCATGACATCTATTGGATGATGGAGATATATTTTCTATTAGAAGAGAAATTACAGGTTACCTTTTGTTATTTTCTCTTGTGAGCTCAAATTAATTAACATTTTTCTGCTCAGTGAGAGGGACACCATCTATGGTGGCTCATTAGTTTTTTTGTTTATTTTCCATTGAGGATGTAAAAATGAAGATGTAAGCTCTCTGTGTGTCCGTGTGTCTAAAATTTAGAAAAACATTTGTAGCTTGTGTGAATGTAAAATGTTTTCCTACTTCTGGAGGGTATTTATAATTAGGTTGTTACGTGCTGTCAAGTGGGCTCTGACTCATAGTGACCCTCTGCACAACAAAAGGAAACCCTGCTTACTCCTGTGCCATCCTGACAGTCCTTGCTAAG